CTAACTGTTAGCTTACAGCTCAGTTCAAGAGAGATAAATGCAGTGTGTACTTCCTTAGATGCTGAAAATAAGCTATAAAATCAACAAGCACGGTAAATGCATCCTTTTACAATCTTTATACTCAAGAAGTACCTTAGATGCTAAACATCCAAAACATACATTAACTTTGTGCATGAAAAGTGTGCTCATGCTTACACCGTGCTCTCAATCCCCGTAAAATCATTTCATACTGTGTAGATCTGTTTGGGTGTATTTTCCATCTGTCCTTAAATTGCTTAATGTATTCAGACTTTACAGGCTCAATTAAGTCTGAAAATTATATACTCATTTTCTAAGCTTTTTTTTTTTCCCAATTACTAAGTGGTTCTAAGTTTGCCATTTTATATAATAATAAAATGTAATTTTATAGTTAGTGGGCAGCTCAGTATGCAATTATCTGTTTGCACAACCAATTAAAAGAGCTGTCTTCTCAAGACATGCCTGAGAAAATCACAGTTCCATAAAAAGCTGCTGTTCCAGTTACAAGTGCTCCTAAATGTTCACCTTTTGATGAAGCTTGCTTCTGGGCTCCGATCAGTGGGCTAAACATTCAGTGTGTTAAGATATTTTCATGTATCTAGCTGCTCTAAATGTGGAAGAAATTTGGAAAAACCATGGAAAAAGTATTTAAAGATTTTTCCAAGCTAATACTGAGGCCTAAATATTTTTAGTCTTAATTAATTTTTTGTCTGGTGGCTAAGAAAGGTAAATAACAACATCCCATTTCTTTAAAGCAAGTATTGACCATGATGAATTACTAACCTAGAGATAGAAAGGCCAAGCAGTATGCTCTAGGCGGCCATGTGGATGCGCGGGAAGAACAGGAGAGGAGGGTGATAGTATTTCATTTGTAGGCTGAAATGCAACTACAACTGCCTACTGTTAAAGAGTTGATTTTCACTGAGCTCCACTTCTGCAATACGCCCAGGAGAAGGTCTGCACAGACCTCTTTACTGCCTCCCAAATGGGAGGAATGCTCTGGGGAATCTTTTTTTGGGGGAGCACAGCACGGATGGAAGGGTACTTTCCTGCTGTTTCCATTGCAGTGTTCACCTAAAATTACATCCCTGTATTGTACTGTCTCAATTTTGAACTTTTAACTATCAGGAAGAGCCAATTCTTAACAAATAATGTTTCAACACTTTTCTTAGGACAGTTTAAGGATGGTTCACTTGTCAGGAACTTACCAACGAACACGATTTACAACAGCAAAGGTGCGGAGAAGATAAAGAGCTAAGATAAACATTGTCCTTCCTTTGAAGCAGTCTAATTTGTTTAAAAATAGTGGTTCAGGTGTCTTGGCTACCTACTTGGAGTCGCTTCTTTATTTAGTGGTGTTCACAGTCTGTGAAGTTTGGTGTATTCAGGAACCTGGCTACCTGCGGTGGGCTTTCTACCTTTGTCTGAGTGCCAGTGTGGGGCTCTTCTGTTGGTTACTGAAATAGCGTTTTCTAGAACTGACGGTAGTGTCAGCAGTTCGTTTCTGGCTGTACCCTCTCTTCCTCTACAACAAGCAAGTCTGTATTTTGCGGAAATGCCTAAATTAACTCAGGTATGGCAGCCACACTACGTAACTGCAGTGTGTCATGGAAGCAACCTGATTGTCTGCGGGTCTTCAGGAGTCTGTAAGTTTAGTTACATGAGGGTTTAAGATGCCCTCACATAACTAAACTTAAATACATTACTGTTAGTTTAGACTAACATAGGGGACAAATGTACCATAGTATCCATCACTTTTTTTTTTTTTAAATTCACTCAGCAATATCACACAACATCTCACTGTTTCGGAATTGAATTTGAAAGCACCAAATGAAATCTAAGGTTGTCACTAAAATTGATGGGAATTATCTTTTTGATCTCTTTTACACATGTGTGTGTGTATATATATATGTGCATGTCTGTGTATGTGTGTATGTATCTGTGTTTACGTATATGTATATTTGGAAAACAAGATAACGCCTTTATTTATGACGTCTCTAATCCTGAATTCCTGAATGCATTGTTTTTTGGTTTTGGGTTTTTGTTGTTTTTTTTTTTTTTTATATGGACAGACTAATTCCTGATAAAAAGCTTTGCAAATGCTTATTTCTCTGAAGAGGGAGTCAAGATAGTGCAAGGCAGAGGCCTGACCATAGGATTGTACCTAAATCCGAGGATTTGGGCTTGATACCTTCAGCTTAGCGTAAAACAAGAATTCCCTGTGTGTATCTGTGCCACCCATCTGTGCTTTAGTATTTCTGCCTTTAATACAGGCCTGTGTTCTTACAGTTGGGTCTCAGCATTTAAATCAGCTGGAAAACGGGGGAAAATATTAAAGGAGAAATTAAAAAATACTGAAAGAACAGTAATACTTCTAATACCACTTGGGGAGTTATATTTTCTGTAATGTGTTAAAAGCATCTAATGCACTAAACTTGATTTTTTAACGATTTTAAAATAAAATATGTGCTTTTAGGACATTAAAAAAAAAAAACCCACCTCCATCATCATCACTTGACCAGTGCCGGGGTGGCTGAGCGCCAGAGAGACAGCAGTGGGTTTGCTTTCCAGGCTGCACCTTTTGTTCCCCTGACCAGCAGGGAATGGCAGCAATGCGGAAGCAGCAGTTTAGCTCCTGGGCACAAAGGGATCCTTAATGCCAATTAAAAAGCAGACTTAATGAGTACCAAAAGCAGCCCCCAAGCCAGGCCTCCTTAGCTAAAAAAAGATGGGAAAGCAACACGTTGTAGGAAATGATGGAATTTTGAAAATCCCATAAGAAACAGGGGAACACCCTTTGCTTTCCCTACCGCATCCTCAGCTCTCGCTCTGCTAAAAGCGAAGCCGTATAAAAATACAGAGGAGTAACTGGTGTAACTGCCCCATTCGGAAAGTGGCTTTTAGCTAGCTGGGGGATTGTTTGTGGTCAGTGTGTTATTTCTAACTAAAATGGCACTTCATAAAAATAACAAATTGTTGGCAACCATTGCTCTTTGAATTCTATTTCTAGTTCTAGTCTCTATTTCTGTTCCTCTCGGTTGCTTTTCTCCTAACAAATCAAATTTCAGGATTGCAGCAGGAAATTTAGATTTAACCTCAAGAGTCAATGTTTTGTCTCATGTCTGCTCTAATGTGATACAGATGTTGGAACTGCTGTACGTAACTCAAGATTTTATTGAACTAGCCCTCCCTGCCTAATAGAAAACATAGCTAACCGGAGCGCACATTAAACACAGATCATTTTGAAGGCACTAAGCTTGCGAATTTTAGAAATATATTTAGAGAATACTTGGGATATTACTTCAACTGCACATCCTTCAGCTGTTTGATACAGAGTTCCTGCCATGGTAAAGAAGCAGAGCTCTTCATTTTACTTGTGTTAAAAAGCAAAACCAAGAAGTAAACACGTAAAAATGCAATACCTGAAATTATTTACAGGCTGGATAATATATTTTTTTCCAGTTATTTGTTTTCTCCTCTTTAAAAGATAACCAGAAAGACTGGAGAAATATATTATCTATTGCATCCCTTTTTACTTCTTCTGTTTTCCAACACTCCTGATCCCTACTATTCCTGCTTCTTTTAGTTTTCCTTCTCTTGAGTTGCCACTCTGGCCAGAGCATGCTAAACACTTGGGTACGTCTTTGACGAGGACGGGATGGTAACCACTGACATTTCTTGAGAGCCTGCTATGCCACATTAGCCCCAGTACAAAGTCATCTGAAATCAGTTCTTTCCTCTGTTCATTCTTATTTTTCCTTATCTCTAATAATGAGATTAAAGTTTGCCACTTTTCTGTACGAACAGTTCACTGTGTTTCTTAAATGAGATTTTTTTTTAAGGTAAAAACAGAAGGCTCACAACATCAGAGTGCTTTTCTTGCCCATAACAAAATAGGAATTATGTATTAATTTAGTGCATCAAAACCAATCCTCATGCCTTATAAAAGCCGGGCAGAAATGTGCTACCCAGAGCAATCTCCGAGCAGCAAACAGACCAGGGAAAATCCCTTGATACACAGAAAGTGGGGAAAAAAACCTAACCAAACCCAAAAAGCTCTGCAGGGAAACACGTAGAAAATGGGTGTCACAGATTAAAAAAGGATTATATATATTTTCACCAGTTAGGCTGACTAATACTGTTGCTTTTTCGTTTAAACCTTGAACTTCCACTTCTTGCTGGGAGGTCTTCTTTGACCCTTGGGTGGACCAACGTATCTGGGATGTGGGTGTCAGACGGGGTACAACTGGGTCTTCAGGCAGCTCCAGGGCTGTTAGCAGCTGTGTTGGTAATACCGGCAGCGATGCAAGTAGACACAGCGTTAGCAAAGGTGAATTCCTTGTCCTTTGCGGGTTAAAGCTGAGCTCCAGAAAGGTCACAGCTGTATTTAAAAAAAAAAAGTAAACCCCCTCACTCGTTCCAATGATGGCCGTATCATGAAAGTTAATTCCTTTCAGCCATTGTATCAGCAAAGCAGATCATTAGTTGAACCTTAGTATATTGAACTATAAACCTGTTATTTCCCCAGTAATGTGGGCAGCCCTGTTTGAGGTTAATTGTCTTTATATATTCCATTGGAAAGCTTTTGGTGTCAGACTTGTGTTTTTTCTACATAAACAGAGAGCAGCTCATGCAAAATGGGGCCATGATCTTTCTTGGGTCCAGCAGAGGAACCTGTATGACAAATAACTGATCCTACCTACTAACTGCATCAGAATTTTTAAAAATCATTCTGGTCTTGTCACTCATTATGCAAGAAAATCTGTATTGGCAACTATTTCTAGCAGCTAACTTTTGGAAAGATGAGGAAGGTTTTATTATTGCCTAAAGACTCCAAACTCAGCTCATATCCTGTAATGAGTACAGGAATACTGAGTCATTTTCAAAATAGCACACTAGCTCTGTTATCATACGAGAAAACTCTGAGGTCATCAGTGTAGCAGGACTGTATATCATTACATATGAATCTTTTTCTCTTCCAGGCTTCAGTTTATTTCTTTCATTTCCACAAACACTATACAACATTCACAGGTAAGTTAACTAACATTAAATAAGTTCTATCCCTTCCCATTTAATTCTGCATATTTAACAGTTTCCTCGCTTGAGAGATAAATGTAATGCTTGAAGTAGCCTAGCTTCTTTCAGCCAGCTGCTGTCCTGATAATGTAGTAAAAGGTTTTTCTGGTCAATTTTGAGAACCTGACTGGTTTCTTTTCCATGTTTATGACTCCTCTCCTCTTCCTTTCACTTGCCATTCTCCAGGCAGTCTCACGCTGTTCCTGCATAGTAAACTGATGAAAGCTCTGTAGTTATAAACACTGCATTTTATTTGCAGTCAAATGTGATTTGTAACTTCTACATGCTCTAGGTAAAATTCTGTAGCTGATCATCCTGCACTCCGTGAAGTACTTTATTGTCTTTCAGATCCTTCTGTAAAACTCTTCTCTGTATGAAGTCTGCAGATAATTGCCATCAGGTACAGGCGAGGCAGGTGGCAAGCTGTGATTACATCTAGGAGTTGGCTTGCTGCACCTAGGCATTTTATACACGGTTAGTTTATACTCCGATGGCCTATTTTTATTAATGCTGCCTGCCTTCCTCTAGTATTTGCTAGCTCATTTCACTCATCTGTCACATCAGGTCTCTCAGATCCTAAGTGTCCTGGAGGAGGGACTGTCACTGCCTGTCTTCAGGAATTAGGAGAAATTAATATTAACATTTAAATTTTGGAGAGACTGTAAGACAATAACGCATTGCTCCTACACAGCCCTTTTCTTGTCGCACTACTCAGTGTAGTTAATAAAAGCATGAATAACCCTGAGTTTGGGGCAGGAAGAGTGGAGAGTCAGGAGATGTGGGGCAGGAAAGGCTGAGGACCCGCAGAAAGGCTGGGCTTTGGGGCAGGGTGATGGGAGCAGCAGCAGGAGGGGACTGGGGACCAGTGGAGCAAGGGACTCCTGTTCGGGGAAGACTGGGAGAAGGAGGACAGCACCTCGGGCATGTCAGTCCCTGGCAGAAGCAGCATTTGCCCCCATGAACATTTAATTTTTGCTTTCTTTCCTCTCACGTCAGGACTTTTGTTTAGTGTTTTCGTTTTCAAGTCATCATTTGACATAGTGTCTCTCGAGCCTTCCGGTGGGTTTATCACTCCTCTGAACAGAAGAGCACAGTAATTCTAAACATCCAGCCAGGGTTGCTTGAAGGATGTACACACAAGCTATTTGGTGATGAGGAATTTGAGTTTTCCAATCATCTCCTCTCTTTCTTCATCCTGCCGCCTGTTCTCAGGTGTTATTTTGTCAGAAGAATGTTCTTTTTTGGAATGAGAAAGATATTTACTGGATTTTTGTCTTGCTGTTTCTATAAATACAAATGTTCAGAGATTTTAAACAGGACATTTCCCAGTACACTTCAAACACAGAATTGCTCTTCTGAACTATGGTATGAAGAAATGGTTTAATGATAGTGAACTTCAATAAATTAAACCTCCTACTCATTTCATAACCTCTTAATGAGTTTTGCCTGAGTGAGAAAGATGCAAGATAGACGCAAAAGCTCTTGATCTTACAGTTACCTTTTTCCTAGCTGACAGAAAATAGAATCATTTACTACCTTTAATAGTACTACCTTTAAAAGACAGCTTAAAATATCCGAGAAAACACAATGCATCATTAATTTTCCTGTACTCTAATTAGCAAAAAAAGCCTCCCCTTTAGGCTGTACTTTGGCAATGGTGCAGGATTGTCTAGCAGCATCACCTCTAGACCTAAACAACAGCAACGCCTGCCAGCCATGTGCTTGACTGCGTTGCCACCGAAAACGTGGGGCGTATTGGTTGAAGTAATTTCATGCCTCATGTCAGAAGTTTCGTCCTCTAAAAAATATATATTTTGAATTCACCACAAGCCTGCATGCTGTGCATTTGGGTGACTGCTACAACAATGGAGCTACTGCAGCTCACTTCATGTGTAACGATGAGCTGGTGAAGCTGACCAGAAGCTATGCGAATAAAACGATATAATTTTTTCCCAGAAATAAATGTTACTTGGGTATCCTACAATTTCTCATAAAATGTCTGGGTATCTAGCACATTTGCACAGGTAGTTCTGTTGCAAGATGAATTCTTGGGCTGAGTTTAGGCTAGAGTTTAAAGTTACCGTGCGGAAATAGAACGGATAAATGTTCTTACTCCATAAAATGATTGTATTTATTTACAGAGCACATTTAAAGAAAACACTGAAGAATGATTCCTTGTATGAAGGACTCCTACCTCTTGTGTCACCTCTGTTGCTGTTCGTTCTTCTTACAGTATGGGTGGTTTTGTCTCCAGGCAACATATTAGCAAAACAACCAAGATTGTTTTTATGGATGGTTGGGGTTGCTTTCTCAAACGTTATTGTAAGTATGTTTGTGGTGGTACTATTATTTAGAGACAGCTTTCTATGTTTATGTGAATGAGCAGAAGGGAGCAGAAACTGTAGTTCAAACTCAGCAGAATCACACCGCTCTTCTACCTCTGTGTTATCCTCTCGTATAAAAATACACCACAGCAGTTGTCTGGACACTTACAGTACTGCGATACTTACTCTACCACAGCATAACATTTTTATGAGGGTTCTTTTTTTTCTGGGGAGTTTATGAACAGCCCTGGGGAGGCCTTACTTCGAGAAATATAACAGATATTCCCCAACACATAGGCAGAACTGGGGACTTGTCTAACGTAAAAGAAAGCTCAACACAAGCATCGATTTACCAGCAAGAGTAGGGGCGTTGTAGCCTTCACCTGCTGTTGTGCCCATTAGTGTGGTACATACATTCCATACATGGTCCATACATGTATCCTACAGCTCAGCTGATCCCGCATTTTCCCATCACTGTTTGGAATAAGTTGTTTTTAGGGAAAGACATAAAGAGGTGCAGGGGCCTTGCGATGGCTCTCTGCCCACAGGTTAGTTTCTCCTATACCACATCATTGTGACCAATTTCCCGCTTTTAATGCCTGTGAGGCAAGGTTAGTTTCCCTATACCACATCATTGTGACCAATTTCCCGCTTTTAATGCCTGTGAGGCAACATAAACCTCGGTGAAGTAATAACAAGGGCAGGCAGACAGTAATGCTGAGCACTGCAGTTAACCCGGGGCTTTCTTCGCTGGAGGAGGCCCTTTGCCTCTCTCCTTGCCAGGAGAGAGGCAAGGGAGCTGCAGCCAAGTAGAAAGGTGTTCCTCCATTTAATGCTAAAATACCCTAAAGGATAGTGACTAGTGTTTCCCATCACTGTTTGGAATAAGTTGTTTTTAGGGAAAGACATAAAGAGGTGCAGGGGCCTTGCGATGGCTCTCTGCCCACAGGTTAGTTTCTCCTATACCACATCATTGTGACCAATTTCCCGCTTTTAATGCCTGTGAGGCAACATAAACCTCGGTGAAGTAATAACAAGGGCAGGCAGACAGTAATGCTGAGCACTGCAGTTAACCCGGGGCTTTCTTCGCTGGAGGAGGCCCTTTGCCTCTCTCCTTGCCAGGAGAGAGGCAAGGGAGCTGCAGCCAAGTAGAAAGGTGTTCCTCCATTTAATGCTAAAATACCCTAAAGGATAGTGACTAGTGTAATTTTAGGAAAATAGTCTCCAACACCATCTAAAATCGTGTCACTGAGCAACACTATATCCAATTTAAAAAGTGAAAGGCTTGAAGTGCCTTGCATTATGAGAGAGATCTTTGAAAATGTAGGATTTTAAAAGAGAAAGCATAACCTCTCTAGAAATTTGTATTCAGGAATGGAAAAGAAATCATAATTGTGATGCTTGTCAGATGTATCCTATAAATGGATAAACCTACACATGGTTCCATCTTAAGGACTTAATCTCACAACAGTTAGGTTATTTTCAGAAGTATAAGTTTTATTGTATGCATTTGTCATTACGTAATCTACCCCTTTTTCTTAAGAGAACAGTGTAGATTCCTGAGTGAGAAACACAGTTATTTCATACCAGTGAGGAAAGTGCTTTCAGAGTTTGGCAGATGGCAGGTTCTGCACATACGTCTTGACCAACTGAGAGAAATTGTGGCAGGATGCTTGCAGAAGAAAAATAGTATGGCAATCCAGAAGTTTCTTTGTAGACTACAGTTTATTAGACAGTGAGTGCAATGCATATTCTTCAGGCCTTGTTTTTGATTTTACTGAAACATCTACTGCAGTGTTAGAGGTTCGCGTGAATTAAAAATGTATGCATGTTAGTGGAAATTATTAACATTTTAAAAGCAAGTATTAAAAATGTATGTGTGTTAGTTGGAATTTATAACATTTTAAAAGTGAAAAACAAGCCTGTATTTCCTTTCACCTCCTCTGGTCCCTTATACAAACACGTTCCCTGCAGCATCAGAGTAAGGCTTGACATGGCAATGCTTTTCTTCTCCATGGTACTCTGACACGCTGGGTTTCCATTATCTGTTCTGTAGACCACAAACTGCAGCCCACGTTTCTCTACCTGCCAGTATCTTGAACGCCTCATGCCTTTGACAACATATTTAGTTGCCCAGCAGATCCCTTGGGCTAAACGCCTGGTCTCAGACCTGGCCTCGTAGCCGTGCAATGTCAGGACGAGTAGGGAAGGTGACGGTCTCCTGGGAGCAGGCAGAAAGACAGGCCATTTCCAGCATTTTTGGCTAAACTAAGGCAAAAAGGCCTCCGAGGCCTAAAAAAGGAAAGCTGCTTATCCCTGAGAGGAGGAGTTCTTTTCCCAGTCCCCACGGCCGGCAGTGGGACTGCCTGTGGGTTGACCACCTCTCCTGCCGAGAGGCTCAGAGCTTGCTTTGAGATTTGCTCGTAGGGCAACTCTTCAGAAATATCCAGGTCTGGGGAAATCACCACAGAGCACAACTGTCACAGCTCCCACTTAGGAAGCCCTTAGAGGCACGTGTTTGAGTCCGGGAGGAGGGGACAGAGTGGGTAAGTCCCACGGAGGGGACCTTCAGCCATCACCATAGCAGGAGTGCAGTGGCCGACATGGTGGCTGGCTGACGAGCAGGGGCAGCTCAGACTCAGGAGATGCTTCATGAGGAACCTCCCAGGGGAGATGGTAAGAGAGAAGACGCTAAGGACCTACCCAGGGGTACAAACCATAGCTGCTAGAGGTTTAAATTCAGGAGGACCGGAGAGCATTGCAAGGTGTGGCCGAGGGGGATGGAAAAGCACAGTCCCATAGCCTTACCTTTTCTCTCCAGTCTGCCTCTCCAGACTCCAGCGCTTTCATCTCCTGATGTTGTTTTTGCCTCGCTTGTAGTGTGAGTCAGTGCTTCAGGACCAGGGGGAATAAGGAATTGAGGGAGGAGTGCAGAGCATAGTCCATTTTGCAGTCCTGTGATACACTGAAGGTGAATTGCTCCAAATATTAATAAGCAATCTTTATGAGAAATCGAGTACCATACTTAACACGGTGCAATAACGGTTTAAAACAATGTGAAATCCAACCTCTGGACAGGTGCAATTATTCAGCCAGAAAAATTATAGCCTATAGATTGCTTTAGCAATTTCTGATACCCTCTGGAATTATTCCCAAAGGACTCATAAGACTAGTGTTATTCAAAAAATTCATAATCAATACTGATAATGCATTGTAAGCAAAAATATTCACATTAGGTACAAATGCTTACTTCTTGCATTATTGAAAGTTTATTATTTTTTCACGGTTTATTTTTGCATTCTTCAGCTTCCACAGCACAGACAGTAAAGCCAGTATTCTTTCCCTATGGTCAGACTCATACTGCTGCTGTCATAGGATTTCAGGCACTGTGCAGGGAATGAATTTTTCATTCTTCTACTGTTTTCAGGATACATAAAATCTATTTTTAACCACATTTAAATTTTGATAGAAACTTAAATTGAAAAAATATTTCAGCTGTGCCTAAACCCCTTATTTTAAAAAAGAGAATAGTGTATATGAGACACATTTCTTAAGGACTCTAAACCAGGTAAGACACTTAAGCGCGCTTAACTGGTTTTAAAAATCTGAACTTCAACTCATTACATTTCAAGAACTCTGTAAAATTAAGCTAATTGCTTTCAGTTAAACCATGCACCATGTATTCATTTTTTCTGCCATTCTGAGTGGGATCCCTTTCCCTGGGCCCCAAGCTACATCTCCAGGGAGTCCACCGCCATGATCGAGCCAAGAAAATGGTGTTTCAGTACATGAAGGAGTGCTAGAAAAGACAAACAGGATTGAAAAGTGGCATATATTACCTTCCCTCCCTTCTATACAATGAACCAGAATATATTTCTGTCATGCCGTGTGATCAAAACACCAGTACGCTCTCCCAGTGATTAAGTGGTGGCACATTTCATTTGGGATCACAACTTCACGAGCCTGTGTGAAAGCATGAGGTGTCAAACAGCTCCCCTTTTGCAAAGATGTGCTTCGGCTCATAAAGCAAAGCATGTCAAAACACTGTCCCCAGAAAAGAAGTGTGTATTTTAAATTACTTGTAATAAAGTCCTTTAAGACTCACAGACAATAAGGCACAAAGGTGTATCTGTAGTAGTTTTCACACCAGAAACAAGCCCCATTTTGAACGCTAGCCTTGTTTTCCCCTCATCAAAAGCAACCCGCAGAGAAAATGGACGTACTTTTGCCTAGACCCCCGGGCTGACCCAGCGCTTCTCACCTGGTGCCTTTTGCTCCGACAGTGCAAGGTGATCATCTGCCAGATGAGCAGCACCCGGCCGGAGCTCTTCCACTGGTTCCTCTTCCCGCTGGCACTGGTGGTCTACGCAGCCATCTCTGGGCTGCTGGGCTGGACGGAAGAAGTGGTGCTCGCCGTGTTCACCGCCCTGGTCACGGCCGCCCATGTACACTACGGGGTCTGCGTGGTGAGTGGGCACCTCCAAAGCGGCCACGGGAGAGCTGCACCAGGGCGGGAAGGAAGATGGGGTCTGGGATCGGTTTCTACGCTGTCTAGCTGGGGCAGTGTCTGGGAGTCTGAATGTTCAGTTATGGTTTTTTTTTTTCTGTGTATTGTTTTTTTTAGTCTAAAGTTAAAAAAAAGTCCATTTACTGCAGGCAGTGCCTTTTTGTACGTGCAGCAACTTCATTGATTTGAATTATTCCAATGTAGCCAACTGGTTTTGGCTTTAAACCCATCACAATCAGAATATTTATGGACTGGTTTTATGTAGCAGTCGACCCATGTAGCATGAATGCTCCCACCTCTTTTTTTCCCTTTCTTCTTCCTGAGGTTACTTGACTGAAAAAATAGGAAGGTAAAATGCAAAGTGACATGAATAGAATTCATAAAATAAGGTTCACTTTGCTTTGAATCTGCAAGCAAAATAGCTGTTCTAATTTCTAATCTTTTCTTGGCCCTCTGTTAGCATCTCTCAAGCTGGAGACATGAATGGTTTTCCAGTTCATCCAGCCTTACCAGGGCATTTTTGTGTCTGCTAGATATCAGTTTTGTCATTTATTGTCATCTGAATTTCTGCTTAAATTCATTTTTCCTCAGTTAATGCCTTCTTTTCTAAAGAGTATTGTCAAATAATCCTTAGGAAAGTGTCTTAATGGGGGTTTGCTTTCAGATAAAACACCTTGCATGGCAAAGACCTCATTTCACAGGGAGCTGGTCAGCATTCTTTGATTTCAGATACACCATTGGGATGTAAGGATTTTTCTTTGAAAGAAGCCTTTTGTCAGCAGACATTGGCATCATAGTAGATTTTACCCCAGCACTGATACGGGCCAGTCGGTGGAGGTCAGAATGGAAATACCTGGTCAAAATTCACTATTGAGCGAGGGGGCCCACCTCCAGCACAGTTTATATCATCTGTGAATCTGGTCTGTGGTGATTTAACTTCCCATCAGTGCGCTGCAAGAAGAATGCAAAGACCACAGCTCTCTTGCTTGAATACTTGTACGTCCCCATGTACTCGTAGGTCCCCAAGTACACGAGAACCGTGGCTGGGTCCTCCCCTCTCCGACTGGGAGAAGAGAGACGGTGAATTGTGAAGCGCATACAAAACCAGTTGCTAATCTCCATCATTTCTCTTTAGGGAAGGCAGCTGAGTGAGCACTTGAACATTTACATCTTTTCCCTGAAGAAACGTGTCCAAGAGTGAACACCTGCACTATGATCAGACTGTAACACTTGACGTGGAGATTTGCAGCTCTTCTGATGTGATAAATAGTTGCAATTAATCTAATTAAAATAACCAAAGAATAGAATAGTCCAGATATCCGAACCACTGCGACAATGAGCTATGCAGCAAGATGCTTCATCTCAGAGGAAGATTCCCGTCCAGCAGAGAAGTGTTTACCAAGTTGTTCTGCTGCTAATATTTATTCTCTTCACTAATGCCGTGTTACTACCCTCTCGGAAGCTTTTGTCTTCCTCCTCCTTGCCACTGTGTCCCAAGTCCTGGATAAATCCATGCTGGTTTACATGAGATCCTTGATGGTTTATAACCAGCACTGGTTTTGCCCAGCCTAGTCACCAGTGGGACCCCGGCAACGCAAACCCTCCCTGTATGTCCTTCCCACTCAGACATCTGTGCCTGCTTCATTTTCCGTATTTATTTTCTCACAACTCATTTCTTCCATACAACCTCCTGAAGGGCTTACGTACGTTCAGTCTTTTCCTCACCTCAAATGAGTGTTTGAAGAAAAGAGAACAAGCTCAGAAAGCTATGGGTACAGTAAAGTGTTTTTGAAACGTATGATTTTTTTCCCTCCAGCATTAAGATGAGTCTCAGCTGACCTGTATCTGTCAGAAATGCAGGCTCCGTACAGCAGCAGCTGGCCTTTATACTTATTTTCTAGGCAGTAACAAGCGCATTGTTGATATTTTGGTAGCAACAAGCAATACACCCTACAAAGGTAACCAGCTGAGAATAAATTTGGCCAACAAACCTTTGAAGATTCTCATATATCACTGCAAAACCAGTTAGTCAAACCTCATCTATGAGTGCAAAATGCTAAGCAAATAATTATTTGCCTGTGTGCTTGAAACAAATTCTTGTGGTTTTAGATAATGACAAAAAAAAGAAAAAGAACTGAGACAAGAAAAGCTTTTTTTAGACATTACACATTTGCATGCAGATGTAAACTGCTCACTTCATCTATAATATATGTAGGTTTTCTGTGTGCCTTGGAGGAAGGAGTAGGAATTTGAGTTTCATCTCTTTTGATACGCTGCCCTAGCCAGGGGGACTCTGTGGCCTTGAAGCACTAATGAAACAATCTGTCCACTTTCCCCAAGGGAAGCATTAAATTACATTTCTGGCACAGAGGGATGTTTATTAACTAGTTAACTATCTCACTTGTCAGAAGCAGGGCAGAAGCGCAGTTGTTGAGACGCTGAGCCTTAAGTTCACCTTCTTCTCTGGCTTTATCACCAGCCTCATCATTTTTTCCCCAGTTAACATACCCTTACATCAGTAGCTCCTATTAATATTTTCAGCTGAGCACCGACTAGTCATGTCTTTGTGAACAGCTTCAAGTTAAGTTTGTACTGCCTGTTACAGTAGTTGACCTGCCACAACGTCAGTAGGGCTGATTTCCCCTGGCAGCCCTTACCGTGGGTACCAGGGGACAAGACGGCACGTCAGCTTCCCCTCTTCACAAAGCAGAAACACCACACCGACTTGCAAAGTTTCTTGCGGTTTGAAAGTATACACGTTACACCTACCAAGTGAGCATGATGAGGGTCCCGCCCCCCCAAACAAACATCATACTACAGTCACAGTTCAAGCAGCTTAAGGTTCGAGTTAGGTCATCCTGTTAATGCTGGTTTGGAGATTTTGCCGAGAGCCCTGCAGGGAAGGGAGGCTCCCGCGCCCTCCGGCACCGCTGCGGTCCAGCTCCGGGGCTGCAGCTGGAACGAGAGGAGTCTTCTTCCAGCCTTCCTCCCCGCTGGTGGGGTGGCCGTGCCCCTACCCTGCGCGATGCCCAGTGAGCGTGGGGTCTCCACCGAGGCGCTCCCTAACTGCCCAAGGACTCTTTTTCTTAGAGTAAGGCTGACGGCTGTTTATTTAATGAAGGATGCTAAACAGGCAGTTCTGATGGTGTTTGAAGGGGAACGATGAGTTCGATGTAGGCATGCACCCAGCAATCTCACTGTTTGATGAAATTAAATATTACATCCAATACCAGATACACTGCCAC